AGTTTAGCAGAAACGCTATCTCATATTAGGCGTCTATTTCATAATATAAGGGAGCTTTCCTCTAATAGTAAACGCAGAAAGACTTGCGAGAATTGCATAATTTATTAAATTACAACAAATAGATGATAAAAACAAAATTATAAGAGTAATTATTGTGGCACTAATTCATCGTTCTCGTTTCAGGAAGTAAGTGCTTATGAAAAATAAGAAGGCTAACTGTAAATTCGAAACGTTGCCGATTCTCGCCCCTGGTATCTACGGGAATAAACGGCTGGCACGTTCGAGTTAATGACTGCGACAACGCGCGTATGTGTTGCGCCATGGGTTATGCTAACAATGCGCGGACGAGGGGCGTCGAAAACCGCGCGAGTTATTTTAGCGAGCAGGAGGGAGGTGGTTTTAAACCACCGCTGTACATATGGATGCGGGCCGCACACCCTGCCTAGGGCTCAGATTGGATTACGCGGATATGCGCTAATTGATTAAAGCGCCGTATGCCGTACGCAATGCCGCATGGCGATCGCGCCGGCGTGCAAACGCACGTAGACTGCAGATAGCGGGTCTCGTTTTTTGCCTCCGTTTCCGGATAAATCGCACGGTCGTTCTATTACCCGGTGGAAAGCGACACCGCAGAATATTCCACGATAAAAACGCAATTTACCGGCTCCTCGACTCTCATTTGCGTTTCATACATTTTCCCTCATTAGCGAAAGAAATTCAAATATAGTAATTTATTATATTTGAGTTTCTTTCGCTAATAATAAATTATTATATTTGAATTTCTTTCGCTAATGAAGGGAACAAAAATATTAGATTATTATTAATGATCTGATTCTTAAAATGTTCTTAACTCTGTAGGCATGATTAACATAATATTAGGTTGGGAAAGGTTTCTTCGTATTTTGAAACATTTTTTTGCAAGTTTTTCATTCTCTTGCGAAATTTTCGTTACAATTATATCATTCGCTACAGCAAAGTTTCAGCTTTAATAATCTATTTTTTAAATTGCGGTATGATGATTTTTATCGGATTTTATGAGCAATCGAAGTCAGAATGCTTCTTTACTTAACTCGCGAATAACTCAGGAACAAAAAATCATAGGAACATTAAACAAACAAAAAAAAAAATGATTTTGTAGGGAAAGCTTCAAGCTTTCACGATAGATAATTAAAAATTTTTGTAAATTTTTTTTTAGACACGTGAGAGACTTTCAAAATGAAAAGAAAATTTTTCATCTTTTTCAGCTCGTAGTTTTTTAAATGTAAAAACTATCAAACTCACAGAAACTCAAAAAATATAGTAACCTTTCGAAAGTAGAGATTTCAAGCTTTAAAACCCTTTTTTTAAATTTAAATTTCGTTCATTTTTGACGAAGATATACAATTTTGAATTAAAAAATACGAAGAAACTTTTTCCCCAACCCAATATATAAATGATTAAGAACTATAGAATAGTAATCTTATTAAATAATAAGATTACTATTCTGAAAGAAATTTGCAGATCACTTCTTGCTAATTAATTTTATTTTTATTATTAATAAATTTTGATACAATATATTTTTTTTTTAGCTTATAATTCTTAATTTTGCGAAAATCGTTAATATTATGAAAGTGTAAATGTCACGAAAAAAAAAAAAGAAAGAGATAATTATCTTGAAGGATGAACGAAAAGATGCTCCGAAGCGAAAAACTTTCTTGGCGCGTCGTATAGAGCGGCCACAAGCATCGCCGCGAGTTAGAGAGACGCTCGGATAATTAACGGCTATACGATTTAATTAATGGTCGCTTAATGTAAAGTAACTACGGTACTACGGCTTTTCGAGGTGTTGCCGACGAGAAGGAGGCGCGGAAACTCGAAAGGGGCTCATGACGAGGAAGAGTGGGAGGGACAGAGGTGGATTAAGTGTCTCGCGTAAGAGCCCTTGACGAAGGGGATGTGATTTATATAATTTAGCAAAGTGGTGAGCTACGCAAGTCTTATACCGGATCGTTAGTCATCCCTACTCTCTCCTCTAGACGAGGGAGGGCAAACTCGTACCATCTCACCTTAATCACCCTCCTCCCTCGCCTTTCTGCATCTGTCCGATGGAATCTTCCGCGTGAAGATGCGTCCTCGATGCGATCCCGCAATCTGTGCACAAGCTTAACACAGCGGTTATACACATCGATACACACTGAGTTACGCGGACTGGATTATGCTTACTTTTACAGTTCCTCGACATGTTGAGAGGGTATAACTGTCGAGGGTTTTCCCACTCGCGCGGGATACGCTTGTCTAATGTCATCTAATTAGAGATGTCGGTATCTCGATTTGAATAAGATTCTCATAAGGTGGCGAGATATATGTTGATAGCACCCAGACTGGAAGAAATGGCCCGTGAACGATTCACGAAGATCAATTCGGTAGCATCGGTCGCTCAGGCTTGGTCGTTCTGGCTCGCGGCGCACATTTGTCCCTGTGAATTAATCATCGCGCGACGAAAACTTCCCTGTTACTCGCTGCATCTCTGGCGATGATTCACAGCGTTCAGGTTTCTGTTTTGTCGAAAGCATTCCTTAAGGAGGTTCTCGCGTTTGATGAAATATAAAACAAGTCTATAATATATATGTAATACAAAAGTTAATAATATCAATAATATCTAGGAAAAAATTTCATTGACTTTTACCGTACTATTTTGAAGATATTTAATTTTAAATTTATCGAATTTTACATTATCACAAGTTGAAGATATAATTTTATTCTGCAGTTATTCTCTTTTAAATTGAGACACTTGCGTGTAAGACGGCAATTTAAAAATCGTTATAATTATAAAGTAAACACTTAAGTTTGTCCTCGTAAAGTTTCATTTAAACTAATTGTATAGTTTACAAGAAATTTATATTCTTCAATGAAAAAAGTTAGAATGTATATCAAACGGATACGTCAAATGAGCATCTTACAACTTTTATTTTGTCATTTTGAAAATATTTAGCAACATATAAAATTAACAATAATTATGTATAATGGCATAAGATATCGTTAGTAATCTTATTATTCCATTATTTTAATTGTTTAATGTATTATTATGAATAAACTCTATTGACTAAGAAAGCGCGAGGACCTCCTTAACAGTGACAGAAAATTCATCTTTTCATCCCGCGTTGTAGTGATATATATTATATATACTTATTATAATAAAACAAATACATATTCGAGAAACGTATAATTATTTTTTAATGTTTTTGTCTAACGCTTTTCCATTTGCTCGAGCAATAATTAATTTGTAGGATCCAGTTGTCGGAGCAACGGAAGCGGCAACGGCAAGCAGAGGAGATCACGGACGAACTTCACCATTGAACAATTGGCCGAGCTCGAGAGGCTCTTTGATGAGACGCATTATCCGGACGCGTTTATGAGGGAGGAGCTGAGCCAGCGGCTCGGTCTCAGTGAAGCGCGAGTACAAGTCTGGTTCCAGAATCGACGTGCCAAGTGTCGTAAACACGAAAGCCAGTTACACAAAGGTAACGTTGCCGCAAACGGAACTCTACAGTGGATATAACACGCTTAATTCTTCCTAGATATAATGTATGTGTATTTTTCCCTTGTCTTTAAGTTATAAATAATTATAGACTTTTTATTTGTAAAAGTCTAGATCAGAAATATTTTGTCATTAAAAGTGTAAAATGTATGAAAAACTTGTATTACATTAATTAAGAGTAATCTATTTCTTTGTAAAATTTACATATCAATCATCAGAGTTGTTAAAAGTTATTCTCTCGTTACTGTGTCATTACTTTTTATAATAAACAATTTGATAATGACGTTGCAATTTTTTATGACTAACTAAATGCTACGATTGTACTAAAGCTGGAAAAGTCACTTTGAAAAGTAATTTATTATCATTATTACGTGTTTGAGTTACTCGCTGAAAAAACTAAAAGTAACGAGTGATAAAGTAACGAAATAGTACCTTACAAATTTCATTATTCGTTACTAGAAATTGTAACTTAATTACCATTACTGTTACTCATTAGGAAAGATAATTACGTAAAAAATAGTAACGAAAAAGGTATAACTTCGTTAGTTTTTTTATATAACTTATACAACCCTGTCAATAGTGGTACTACATCAATAGCGATAGTATTCTAGGATTAATGTTCGAGCTGGTAGCTCTAATTAAATTTTTTTACAGGCGTCGCCGGGAGTATGGTGCTGGCACCGCGCAGTCCGCCGACGACGTTGGAGCCGTGTCGAGTTGCACCTTACCTGCCAGCCCTCAGGTTACATCCACCGCCGATGCAGGGAACTACAAATGTCACAGTAGGATCAGCTTTTGATCCAGCGGTGCTGCACTACGCGGCAGCTGGGGGCCTCTTCTGTCTGCCACCACCACCGCCACCGCCACCCCCGGCACCGTCGGCTGGCCATCCTCCTCATCCGCTGAGCCTGGCGGCGTCGTTGGCCGCTGCGGCAGCTCGCTCGAAGAACAGCAGCATCGCAGACCTTAGGCTGAAAGCGAGACGGCACCAGGAGGCCTTAGGGCTCGATAGGCCCGCGTAAGGTTCGCGGTGTGGTACGTCTTGGACGAAGAGGGACTCGACGGGGATGAAGAAGTGCGAGTTGTCGTGACGGTGAGTGTACTCAGGTTCGAAGAACATCTGTATTTTCATCGAAATGTAACTTAGAGCAATGCGAAAGAAAGATTGATAGTAGACCGATCATGGTGATTTCAATTTTCGATACCATAGGAAAGATACATTATCTTATGTATCACAGTAATTCACTCATTGTCGTTGTTTAAAATTCTATATAATTTAGACCTGTATTTTTTCTAAATGAAAACTTTAATTCAAATTTACGAAATTTTAATTATTTCTTTTTTTTTCTTTTTATTGTACATTATTTTGAGAGTAAAAACGTTGCAGTTATTTGTACACGATTAAAATTACAGGTTGCACGTGTCGTTGTTTTGTGCAGAAACTTGCTCGCGTATAGAATATAAAAGCGAAACACGTGCATCTCTTCATCCGCGACGTGCCGAAGAGTCTGAGAAGTACAAAGGATACTCAATGTGTATAAAGTAAATTGCGGAAGGACGACGGGAAAACGTGTAACATATATAATGTATACAGAATCGGGAGTATCTCGCTTGTATCTCGATTAGCGTATTCTGTGTCGAAGAACTGTGATGTAAAACCGCGAAGTTTAATCAGCAACGATTAAGAAGGCGACACATTAATGTAAAGTTTATCGTCACCAATTCTTGAACCAGTTCTCATCTCAAGTTAGCGGGCATTCGTTCGGAGCGGAAGTTATCGTAACTTTGTGTATGCTCATACGAAGACATGTTTAAACGGAACGTTTGTCGAAATGTCATATTTGTCAACGTAGGAATTCAGAAAATGTGTCAAGGTATGTTCAGCTCTTTGATAACATTATATAAAGAAAATCGTAGAATGTTTTCGAAAATACATTTTGTTATCAAATACGAATTTTATCGATAAGGAAATTCAAGAAAACAAGACAAGCGTCGAGAGATTACTCATCAGCAGAATAAAAAGACTCTTACGTCATCTCGAAGGATAGATTTGTTATACGTTGCAAAAGCAATTTCTGAGGATGATCTATGGTGGAATTCAGAAAGTGCCAAGATTACTGACCATCCATGTAAAAGGAATCGTACGTCGTTTCCAAGAGTAGATTTCGGTCACAACATTTCTTACCAGCGATATTACTTCGCAAGGGAATACGGGAAACTCCAGGACGCGCCAGGATCGCTGACCAACCGCGGGTGAGAATTATAGATCGCCGCGTCCTGGCAGCGGCTTGCAAGACATAACTTTCGTAGATGATTCACGGGCGGGTGGACGGACGCCGGACGATTTCTCGCGTTCGTCGCCAGCGAGCGAGCGGGGGACGGCGGACAGCATCGCCGTCGGGGCGCTAATGCAATAACGCGCGGCTACGCGGATAAATCAAGCCAGGGTGAACCGCTCGAACGGTGGCTGTGCCGTGCCAGTGCCGTGCCGCGTAATCGCGTTACCCCGGTCGTCCCCGGGGCGCCGTTATAGTCCTGGAACCCCTTGCCCTCGAAAAGGGAGATGAGTTGCTCTGAAAGTTCGCACATTCCTCGAGTCCGGTAATTCGTCCGACTTATCTCCACGTAAATCGCGGGTACGCGAGTCCGGTTTCTCATCTATTCATTAGCGAGAAAATATAAGGGACTTTTACGATATCGTCTCGAATCCAAATACGCTAAGGGAAAAGGAGAATTCTCGGTATTGTTGCCGTCACACGTAGCACGGGGATATATATTAGTGTTTACCGTATCGGGATACGCGTTGCTGAAACTTATTCAACTATATCAAATATGCGATGAAACGTCTTCCAGTGCATTTTCGTGGATAAATCAGTCATGCATCTCGGAGGAGGGTTGTAATTGCGTTAACACGGATTTATTCCGGCCGTCCCCGGGGCGTCGTTATCGTCCTATCCGCGTGCGTCGATAGGTCGAAGCAACGTCGCGTGGCCGTGATTTGATTAGTGACTTTAATTAAAAAGAACGCCGGCGTACAGAAACCGCTTCAACGTATATACGACCCATATATGATGAACTTTTTACAGGCATTGTATATAAAAAAGAAAAGCCATAATTTGGTCGCTTTACGACCGCAAGATTGATTCTGCAACAGTGACTTACGGTCTCATAAACTAACATGGATTTTTTTTACGATGTAAACTTTCTAATATATAGCAGATTTTTATTGGATTAGAAATTAATTCAATTATAAGGCGATATTTAAAATATAACTCATTATGTACTGCATACATGTTAAAATTAAATATATTCAGAGACATTCTGTATAATAATTTGTTAGAAGAAATGTATGAGACTGATGTCACTTGTATTGTAAATCATCTCGCTATTGAGGAGTGAAATTGACTAAGGCAATTTGCAGGGAATGGAAAGTTACTTTTTAAAAGTAACAAGTTACAATTATTCGTTAGTAGAAAAAAGGAACAAGTTATAGTTAGTAGTTATGATTTTTAAAAGTAACTCGTTGAGAAAGCTTTTCGATACTTTTCCGTTACTTTTTTAGAATCAACGACCAGTTACAGATCGATGATCTAAAGACTTTCTAGTCTCAAGTACTATGAATGGCTTGTGTCCAAAATAACGATAAAAGTAACTGTAAAATTCGTTACCGTTACCAAAAAAAATCTAACTACCGTTACAGTTATGGTATAAAGAAAAATAACTTGTAACTGTAACTTCGTTACAAGTTACTTCCATTCTCTAGCGATTTATTTTTACATATAAAAAGGTCATTAATCGATAAACACGCCGATTAAGCTCGTGTAATTAATTTAGCGATATATGTTAAATTGTCATCTATTGCTCTATCCCTGTAACGAAAATGTACCCTTTTTTTCCTGTCAGTTTTCATAAAATAATCAGCAAAAATCTTCACCATGTTAGAAAGGACGCGTATTATATCTGATTTTTACATTTTAGTTAAGTTTTAACTATATAAGTCTTATCGAAAACATTTTGATATTAGAAGATTTATAATTTTAATAATTTTTCTTATTTAAATATATTTAATTTTTTAGGTTTTCAAAGTACTTTATGCGGAACAATATAGAGAAGAATCTAATCGAGTTATTATTATCATCGATGATCACTGACATTGCCATTATAGCAACAAATGAAAATAGTAAGAATAATTTGGAGCAATTACATTCGCATAACGATAAAAATAATGGCGCTCCCCACCTCATTTACAGATAGGGAGATAATAATAAAAGCACAAGGCCAGGGCCAAGGGCTGTATTCGCCCTTCCACCTCCGGTGACGCTTTCCGAAATAAAATAAAACCCTCCCTAAAATAATTCGGAGGGCGCCGAGGGATGCTCCTCTCTCTTTTCCCTTCGCTCATTTTAATCCGAGTTTTAAGAAGTTTTTCCTATTGCTCGTAAATTGGCCGTCGTTTGTCTGGCTGAGGTCACGTGGGGCCAGCAAGGGGTGGAAACCACCCCCGGGGTATTCTCCCCACTACATAGCGAGATCCTGTTGTTCGCACATTGCGCATTCGTAGCGCGCGAGTGGGGGACGGAAACTCGTAACTGCGATATAATGTCCCGCGAAAACCAGCTACCATCATCAATTATCTCCGCCCTCTTGTCCCCTCAAAAGGGATGAAACAGGGAATAATCGAGAAACGCGCGGGGCCGACTCGTCGAGATTTCTTGAGATCGTTGCACAAAATCGGAGACGTAAAAATTATAACGACAATAGTATTATTTAAAAAAGTAAGTAATAAAGATGATCTAAAAAAATTTCTCAAAGATCGAGATTAAACAATTTTTAATGCTCCTTTTTGAATCGAAAAACTTTCACAATATAGTAATTCATTTACTTAAAACATGAATTATCTCTTTCATGTAATAAATATTCTTCACGATTAAAATCAGGATTGTATAAGTTACATAAAAAAGTAACGAAGTTACTTTTTCCGTTACTTTTTTATTGAACGTAATTACCTTTTTTAGTGAGTAACAGTAACGGTAATTAAGTTATAATTTCCAGTAACGAGTAACGAAATTTTTAAGTTACTATTTCATTACTATTTCGTTACTCGTTACTAGTTTCTTTTAATAAATAACGCGTAATGACAAGTTATTCTTTTAAGTAATTTTTCCAACTTTAGCACAACCTTAACGACTAATTTGTTAGCATTACCATCATAAAAAATTGCAACATCATTGTCAAATTGTCTACTATGAAAAGTAACGAGAAAGTAACTTTTAACAACCCTGATGAAAATTTTCTTCAAACGGAACTTCATTACATATTTTTAAATATTAAATTACTTTTTATTGTTTAGCTCGAAGAGTATCGCCAGGAAATTGATTAGCGCTTGGCCGTCGGTGAAAAATTCGCGGCAACAGATCAATCCTGCAATTCCGACGGCGTGATCGAGGGGACGGGCGGGACGGATGCTGCGCGAGATTTGGAAATAATTCAGCCCCGCGCACTGACTGGCGGGCCAAGGGGCTGCTTGCTCTTCCGACCCCCGCGTGCCTTAATCTAATCCAAGGATAATCTAAAATTCATGACACACATAACTGCCAGGCGATGATATATCTGGCGGGGGTGTAAAGGCAACGTCTTCTCCGTTCCGCCGTCGTTCTACCCCTCGCCGCACCCTCCTTACCGTTCTTGTAGCTTGCAGTTTGGCGGGCAACCCAACAGCAATCACTGGCATTATTATTTAATGCGACGCGCGTGGCGGCGTATACATCGACCAGCTACCTTATAAATCGCGATATCGTAGTCCCTGCTAGATGCTGTTTATCTCGCGAGAGGAATTACCAGTTCGATCGGCGCCAGTTGATCCTTCTTCTCTTAACATCCCGAAACACGTTGAGTTTAACGGACCGCGTAACAACTGATTGCACATCAGGATGCCGTTTACATTTCTTTCGAAAGAGATTATACTGTCTGGATACAGTGGAATTTTTATTCGAAGAATATCATATAGATTAAAAACGTAATTTGGAAGATCCAGCTTTACAGCGACATTACAAAGATCGTGGAGTTATTTTATCCTATAAGGTAATCAAGTCTCGCTTGCGTTTCAAATTTATTCAATGACCAATGAATTCCCCGTTTTATTTCTCGTTATGTGAAATAATCCTAATCGTTCTTTCCAGACGTTTTGCAAAATGATCGAAAGACCAATCCTAAACGTATCATCCACTTATACGCTAAGAACTTCATCGTTCCTATTGAATTAATCGACTTGCGTACGACCAGCCACGTACCCTTACCGATACCACGAGCGTCGTTCAAGCCCCGATGGAAGCCGATAATCCGGGGAATGCAATTCGCGCCTTTACGACAGGGTGAGATGCACGCAAATGGACCGAGGGTGGTCACGCGCCGGCGATAAGAAAAGAGAAGAGCGATAAAGTAGAAAGAGGAAGAGCGAAAGAGTGGAGGAAACGAGGAGCTAAACGTGAGTTTCCGCCCCTCCAGGCAGATCCGATGCGGAATCAATTCGCGTAATAGTTCTGAGGGGGGGGGGAGGGGGGTAGAGGATGGCTCGCGAGGGTGGGAGGAGGGCTAAATCGACTGATGGTCGTAGGGGGTGGGTTTAAGCGAGAGCTCGGATACGGGCCATTACCACACCTGTCCCTCAACTTCGACTTCGCGAGAGGAAGAGAGGCGAGCCCGAAGCTCTAATGAAGAGAAGCAATCACTTAAGCCGCTCCGCCATATACCCGGTGAGCCATACAGGATACGATACGGTTTTATTTGCGTTGCTCCGCACCGATACGCTTTTACGGCTCACTCGAGGGAATGCTCGACGGGAACGCGAGCGAATAGGACACAGAACGTGTCCTACGTTCGCTGATCCAAATCGCTCCTCTGGGACAGACCCGATCATTTGTAACGCGAGATCGTTATCTCCTCGATAGCACCCGAACCAGAAAGAACGTTGGAACGTTGGAACTGGAGATCGTCTCCCATTCTCTTTACGATAATGATATTGCTATGATAGCGAAGTGAAAACGTACAAGTGAAAAACAGGAAGGCCGTAATTGTACCGTAAAGAAATCAAGTTTAACAATTGATTTTGAAAGATAATGGCAAACTCGTTAAACAGTTTCAATTACTATTTAATATAAATACTGATTATTAGTTCTTACCTCGTTTACGTTTGCAAAATCATGTCGCTCGCATCATAGATGAGAATTCTGCGAAGAAATTATATATAACCGTCGTATGACTAATGAAAAAAAGAAAAAAAAAAAACAATGTGTGTACTCGAATAAGAAATGACAGAAAATAATTACAAAATAATTCCAGATGAATAATGTAGGTGTTATCAGTTTAAAAGAAAGAAATAGTTACAAAGATACATATATAACATAACCGACATCGAAATAAATCTAGGATAGATCTTTATCATAAGAAGACTTGCAAAGACTTGGTGCTCGGTACTTCGTCAAGATTTATTTCGAATGAAATGGTCACGTAGCGTCACAGAGAACCAAGACAACGAGCGCAATATAGAGCGAGAATTGAAGCCGGTATAATTTCAATGTTCTTAATGTTTGATGCTATAGACACAAACTTGACACAAGCTCAACATAAGTCATTGAAAGGAATAAAAAAAAAATTTCGATACAATTTCCTTTCGCAATTATAATCGGGCGTAATATATAGTTTTTTTTAGATTGTTTCTTTGCAGAAACATAACTTTCACTCTATAACAATCTAGTTTACTTCACTAATTATTATAATATCCTTACTAATATTACTACGATTTGCAATATTACTATACATAATTACTTACAATCCTAAATTAGCTAGAGAGAGAGAGACTTTACAATAAGTATTTTCAAAAAATTGACTTACATCATTGTCATTACATCCACGGAGATCAGTTTCGCGCATCTATAGCATGGAAATCTAAAGTCAGCGAAGTTCTACCGGTTTCAATCCCGGATATGAACTATGATTTAAACGCGTGCATACGTATATTATGTCACAACAGCATGCGACTCGGACAATTAACGGAAGAAGCTCGGCGGCAGGAAGCATTGAAGTGTTCGCGTAAACACGTTATAACAAGCGACTGAACCTTACTTCTACAACCTTTGCTCCTCGTCAATGTTCTATCGTCCGAGTAGATAGATTCACGATACTCGAGTTGAATACTTGCACGCGCTTATGTGACGCTTTATAAAGTGTAAAGTCGTCCGGCTCGACTACAAGTTCGCGCTCGAAGAGAAAAATTATTCGTAATTAGATGAAAAATTGCCGAGGCTATAAAATACAATTATCGAGTGTGTACATTCACCCTTAGATGATGAATTTACAGTGCGACTGCCATGTCGATTTAAAACGAATATGATGTTCGATTTAATTGCGCATAAGATATTTCCAGTCAAGTTTTAAAAATAAAACTTTTTTTTTTTCAGTCCCTTTTTGTAAGAAAAATTACTTGGTCATTAATTTTAATTCACAGAATTTTCATGTAAATTTGTAATTTTAATTGTTTGGAAAGAAACAAATTAAAATTACAATTTCGAATACAATTACATTTTTTTTTTTTTCTCAAGAAGAATCAAGGACCGTTCTAGTATATCTTATTCGCAGCTAATCCGTCTATCACACACACTTTATGTTTTTAAGTCAAGAGTTATATAAAGTACATGTACGAAATTGTTTTCATCGCTCTTCCGAGATGGGCAGCACCCTTTCGTTGCACCTTGACAGGCGTAAATGTATCACTGTGTAGGAAAGCAGAAAAATGTAGTCTCGTGTTCTTTTCTGTGCGAAACTTACATGCGACGTTACTACTGAGCACTAGGAGAGATTATCCTTAAGTACTAGGCAGTCAAGGTAATATGCAACAATAAAAAAGAACACCGTGTATGTATAATCTATTATCGAGTGATAGACACTGGACAGAGGAATTCGCCGGCGCTTGCGAGAGAAAACAGCAAAGTAAAAGCAAACTACGGCAGATCGACCTGCATTTTGGCAGAACCGTCCTTTCCGTGGCCGCAAGGATAGGATAATCAGGTACTAGGAACAGCCCCATACAGAGTCCCGGTCCTTTGAGAAAGGAAAGACGCGATCGATCGACATTTGATATCGAGAATCTCTGTCGGAAAAAACTTTTTTCTTTTTTTACTTCCGCAGAAATCTCGTTTCAATTCATCGCATATTTCTCGATCGAAATGAGCGAGTATGTATATAACTATACACATCTA